GTATTCCTGTCTTGGGATCTTTGCCCATGATCTTCTAGCTACTTAGAATTATCTACACCAAGTTCTGCACAGGAATTGCTTTCATCATTCACGTTTCCATTTGAATGATCCTTCTTCAGGGGGCTTTTTCTACAACCACCCTCCACCTAGACTGTCGTAGTTCTTCAATACCCTCAACCAAGTCACTGTCATCACAGTATACTGGTTTGTATTTATCCCACTTAATATACACTGATTGTCCATTAGATTTATTGGAAACTTTAGAAGATTAGAAACCATGTATATCTTTTGCTCACTGATGTGTAAAATGAAGTTTATCCAAAGTGGACACATAAAATAATTGTTTAATTAATTAAATTATCTATGATTTAAGAGTCACAGAGATATAAAAAATAAAATGACTGCAGACACTCATATCTTAAAGTGCATGTAAAATCATCTGTGAAAAACTGATCCTTACTAGCTATATGCTATCAATCTTGGGTCATCATAGACAAGGTTTGTATGTAAAACAGGTGCTGCCTTAGGAATTGTGGCTGACCTTCGATATAGCACTCAGATTTCAAACATGACTCGTTTCATTCCCAGATGCTACAGACAGTTAGACGAGGCCTTGGGATTGATCACAAAAAATTCCAACATTCTGTAGATGTAGAATGTATTAAAAGTACATACTTTCATTGAGCCTTTTTCAGACTACCTACAAATATTAATGTCACCATCACAGAGAATATCAGCCTTTTAGCAACATAAGATCAATAAATGTTGGATAATTTTTAATGTGTTTTGAGAGATAGGATGAGAATCAGGAGAAAGTAGTGTTGATGAGGTCAACAAATAAAAGTTTAAGGAGGAAAGAGGTCATATATGTGAAGTGCAACGCAATGTTTCACCTGTATAAAAACAAACGCCCACTATTTCCCAAAATATGATGCTGTTATGCCATCTCAAAGTGAATGTGAATATTTCTTTCTGAGTTCCCAGCAAACAGAACAATGCCTAGCATGGAACAGAGAGGATAAAGAGCAGTGAAAATGAATCTGCAACAGGAAAGGATTGTGACATTCCCTCTGTGCACTCTGTCTGGCATGTTGACTTGGAAAGCAAGTCTGTGATCACATTAAACAGATCATTCTTTCAGGGTAGTCTTTTCTTATGCCCTCTGATTAAAATTGAACTATGTGTGCAGTAATCTCTGTCTTTTTTCTGTCCTTTGGGAATGATTCTTTATGTGATTACTTGCTGCCTTTTNTTGTTGTTTTGGTTTGTTTGTTTTTACTCTAAAATAAAGCAGGTTTGTTTTAGAAATGGATAACTATAAGTGAGGTCAGATCCTTAATGGTCTTATCATGGCTGAAGAGATACAAACCTTCTGTAAGGCTTGTGTAAAGAACTGAGTGTTTAGAGGTTCTGAATATGTTATAACAGAGACATCTTATTCACCAAAAACCTGGAGTAGTCTTTAAATCCCACTTTAAATATTTAAAGTTATGAATTTTGTGAATGGTCTTTTTATATGTTTTATTTATTTGTATTTCTTTAGTATTTATTTATTTTATTGTGTAATTTATTATATACTTGATGATGATAAATAATAATACTCCTATAATGATTGAAATATCAAAAATTTATTAGCCATAACTCAGAACCACGATTATATATATATATATATTACAAGGTACATCTATTTAACTAATCATCTGGATATTTGAAAAGTTTCCACCAAGAGCTAAATAATTTGGTTGGACTATGACATCAATAATCTCTCCAAGGAATTTGTCTTTCATTGTCTTTAATAATTTCTCTTTATTGAAAAAAAAATATGAGACAGTTTAATATATAACCAACTATAAATAACTGGAAAATACTCAATGACAGATGAAAATTAAACAGAAAAGGAGAAAGGGTTAGTGATTAAATTCATTTTTAATTATACTTAAGTGAGCAAAATGAGTTATTGTGAGGATAAATACTTAAAGTATTACACATATTTAAAATTGTCTACTGAAAATTCCAGAATAGGTAGGCCAAGGCAATCCAATTCAGTAGCCTCATTTTCAAGATGAAGCAACTAAGAAATTAAGCACCTATACCCAGGCCACTAGACTCCAGATCCAATTGTTCTCCAAGATGTTTTTACAGCTCCCCTGAAGCCATCTCGATCATCACCATCTCGATCACTCCTCTCATTTTCTGATCTTCACCCAGTGGACAAGACTGGTTTCACTGGCAATAAAAAAGAGTAATGTTATATCAAATCAGCAAAGTCTACAGAAGGAGACCTAGAAAAATTATGAATATTACATTTAATTGTATTTATGTTAGAATCAAGATTTATTCATGAGAATACCCATTACCATGATTATCTTAATATGTCTGGTAGATATTCTAGGAATAATGAAATTCTGATTTTCTATACTGGCATAAATTTTCAGTTTTATACTCCTCTTCAAGAGGATGTTATGAGGAGAAGTAAAATAGTCCTTCAGATTTTCCTGCTTCTCCCACCAGAGGAGAGCATCACTTTGCTAAGACTGGAACCAAGTCCAGGTGACCAGTTACCCCAAAGGGAACTGTGTTGCCAGAGAATAGGAGGGAAGGATGTTGTACACAGCTGAGTCCAGGATGCCTAGCAGTGAGGGATCTGCAAATGACTGACCAAGTTACTTACATAATCGGGGGGAACTCAAATCCCCGAGGACAAGAAGGGGCAATGAAATGGCCTCTAGGGCATCCTTAGAAGACATGACTTGCCTGCTAGCCTTCCTGCTGCCCCAGAGATGGAGCTATTGTCTGCATATTTTGTTCAGAGGGTAAAGCTGGCCTCAATCTTAGGATGGCATGTTTGCTAAGGGACAAAATTAACAACCCACCCAGTGAAACTCTAAATGAAATGAGGGCTGTCTGGGAATGTAGTCACATATCCCAAGAAGGGGAATTTTTCATAGCAGCTCACCAGGATATTGTTTTTAGGATGAGTTATTACTGGAAAGGAAAGATGGTGAAGTACTGCTGAGGAGGCTTCTCTTAAGAGCTACATGAGGGGGTAAGTGACTAACATGGCTGGCTCCTCTGCTTTCCCTATATAGGACTCAGCTATTCTGATATATACAGTTCTGGGACACTGCCCTTGAAG